CGTTTCCGGGTCGGGCGAGGAACCTGTGCGGGGGTTCGGCCCCGGGAAGCCTTCGTGCGTTCTCCTTTTTTTTTCGGTTCCAGGAGAAGGAGCGGGCCCGCGGAGGCACCGCGGAGGGCGGGCGCAGGGGACGCGCCTGGAAAAGGCCCCCCAGGAAGTTCAGGGCGAGTGACTGGTTTGTGCTTCTTCCCGCAGCCAAGCCGCAATGAAGAGCTGCTCACAGTGAAAGGAAAGTAGGTCGCGCCCACTGAAAATGCCTTTAAGGGACAAATACTGTCAGACTGACCACCATCATCACGGATGCTGTGAACCAGGTACCTACCCCGTTCTCCTCCCGTCACTTTGTCCTTCCCCAGGGCCGCTCCGCCTGCTGCTTGCTTCCAGCTCGCTTTTCCTCCTGCCCAAGCAGCTGTGCCCAAGGAAGCAGGCTATCATTTCCCCGTAGCCTAGCATAAATGCTTGTGCAAACAGGAGGTCTCCCCTGCTCGATCCCCTGAAAACGGCACTGCGGGTGTCACCTTAAATCTTTTCCACAAGATCAGTTACCCCGTTTCTTTCAAGGCAGCCTCCAGTTAGTGTACCCCATGCTCTGTAAATGTTTAGGATGGAAGAGGAAGGGGGGAAAAAATAGTAGCACACTAGTATTTATCTTCATGAAGATTGTTTTATGGAAAAACAATCAACTTGAAAAAATTAAGTTTCGTAGGCATTTTGATCAGGGACTAGCGCTTTAAAGCCTACACATGAGTTCAGTTTGAGCGAGAAAAAGTTGGTTGAACTCAACTTATTGGGAGAATCAGGCTTTGCCAAATGCAACCTTTTAAAAATTTTCTTGGACGGAACATACTGTATTGCAAAAAAAAAAAAAAAATCCTGGTTATTTGCGTAGGGTGCGTGAGTATTTTTAGGACATTTTATTCAGTGGAACTTTCAAAAGTTGAATTTGTGAAATGAACACTTTGGTTTTTGTAGTCTCGTGAAGAATACTTAGAAAACTTTAATTTGATAAATGTGATCTGTAAACTATTGGTAGTTTTTCAACTTAGAAGTTTGATGTGCTTTGTCATAAACAGGTACAACTTAAAAGGAATCATTGAATACACACCACCTCCACACCCAATAAATGCTAATTTATTCTAGTTAAAGACAGGTGGTATTATTTTTGACCTAAAAGTTATTAGGACACTATACTTTTGTTTGCTTTTTGCTGGAGAATTTTAACTGTCCTAATGTACTCAGTTTTATCACAGTAGAGTTTAGAGTACTCTTTTGCTTAATGGGAAAAATTGGCCATGGTAAAGGGGAAGAACTTCCACTTTCAGAAAACTTTGGTACACAGGAGAATAAAATGTGTACAATGACGCTATCCCCACTGATTTGGTGAAAATCAGTAACACCTCTGCTAATACAACAGTTAATCCCATGACGGGATCCAGTTTCTGTTCGCCTGTCCCCTTACCTACCTTAACTCTCAGCACCCTTTCACACTGCATATTTTGTGTATTATTTGAAGTAAAGATATGTTTTAGCAAGTGTTGAATGGAATTTACTAGTTTTGAAGTAGAAGGCTGTGAATGCCTTGTATCCCACTGACCTTTTATTTATTTTTTTTAAGAGTACTTCAAGTCATTTAGGTTGAACTAATAAATGAAATAATCTTATTCAAGAAGAAATTCATTGATTCATTTTCTTGACAGGTTGTTATTAAGCACCAGATAGGTGACTAGACACTTTCCAGGCAATGGGAATAGAAGTGGTGAACAAAACAGATAAGGTCATTCCCTTATAGGACTTTTGAGTGGAAAGAGGTAGACAGATAAAAGATGACCATATCTTATTTAGTGTATTCTGGTAATTAGAGTTTTCTAGAGACTTTAATGTCGTTTTAAAGATGCTTTCCAAAGTTGAACTTTTTTTGTTAATCCTCACCCAAAGTTATTTTTTTCTATTGCTTTTTTAGAGAGTGGAAGAGAGGGAGGGGGGAGACACACACACACACAAACACACACAGAGAAAGAGAGAGAGAGAGAGAGAGAGAGAGAGAAGAGAGAGAGAGAGAGAGAAACATTGATTGGTTGCCTCTGGCATGAGGCCTGACCTGGCCTGGGATCAAACCTGCAACCCAGGTATGTGTCCTTGGGCAGGCAGACACTCTAACCACTGTACTGTGCCAGCCAGGGCTCTAGAGTTGAACTTTTAAATCTGTATTAGAACTTTTGTGATTCTTTTTTCCCCCTGTATTAACAAGAAATGAGACAAGTTGAGTTAATTAAAAAATTTCAACTTTCTTTTACCCTAAGCTTTCCATGCAGTTTTTGTTTCAGACTAGTAGGTCAAAGGTAGTTGGTGTTTCTTTGCTTTCTTAGTTATAGTAATTAAACACTTTTTGAGCATTTAGTTCAGTGGAAGCTAGAAGTTTGTTAACTTAGAGAGTAGTTAATTGACATTATTTCAGAGGAAAGTAGGTGCTGAGTGGGAGGATGTTTCCAGCACTGAGAGGAATATATTATGATAAAAGATGACATGATGTTTGAAACATTCTTTTAATTGGCTCTCCTGAGAAGTCTGTCCTGGTTTGAATTATGAATAGTGGGTAAGTTCCTTGGATGAGAGCAGTGGTTTTTGAGGAGGCCTTGATAGGATGGGTCAATTTGTAGTGAAAGGTGGTATTGTAAGCCTGTCAGTGTATGTATTTTCTTAGTTATTAAAATATGTATATATTGATTTCAGAGAGGAAGGGAGAAGGAGAGAGACAAACATTTATGATGAGAGAGAATCATTGATCAGCTGCCTCCTGCTCGTACCTCACTGGGAGACTGACTGGGAATTGAACTGTGACCTGGTTCATAGGTTGACACTCAACCACTGAGTCACACCTACTGGGCAGTTATTATTATTTTTTTTAATTAAAAATTTTTTTAAATCCTCACTCGAGGATATGTTTATTGATTTTAGAGAGTTGAAAGGAGAGGGAGAGGGAGAGAGAGAGAAACATAGATTGGTCGTTTCCCGTATGCACAGGACCAGGGATGGAACCCACATCTGGTTATGTGCCCTGACTGGGAATCGAACTGCCACCTTTTGGTGTACAGGACTGTGCTCCAACCAACTGAGCCACACTGGCCAGGGCCTTAGTTATATTTTAACGATGTTTTTTTTTGCTATAGAAAATTTTAAACATTCAATTGTAGAGAGAATGGTATAAGGAACCTGATATAACCATTGCACAACTCCCATCAGTTATCAAAATATGGACAATTTCTTTTCATGTCTATTCTCCCCTCCCCATGATTTCCTTCTACACCCTCCAACTGCTCCAACACCCTCTATTATTTGAAAGCAACTCCCAGACATGATTAGTAGAAGGATCTTTTAAGGGGCTTGTTTTAAGGTAGGAGACAATACTCTATTTTTATTTTTATTCTGAAAGTGTGTTCTTGGAAGGATGTAAAGAAAGATGCTAACTTCTGAGGGTTTGGGTTTTTGGTTGGAGGGAGATGTTGTTTGTTTTGTTTTTCCTAAATGGTTATATAACCTGATCTTGGGAGGGGATGACAGGATATGTAAAAAATTTTATGAAAATATTAAAGTTTTTGTATTAACGAAGAAAGACTTAAATGGGAACTACACAGATGTGTATACAAGTGGATGCGTCCTTGCGTAACTAAGCTAATCCTGGGGTTATTTTGAATGGTATCTTAAGAGGTATATGTGTTCTGGTGATAGCAGTGTTCGAAGGTGATGGGTAACAAAATTTAGTTGAGCTTTAAAGTCAGATGTTGTCACATGGGAGTGGAAGTTGATGTATTATAGAAAGTTTTCTGGAGCTTGTACCTAGATGAGAGGGGGCTCTAAGGAGAAGTTTCCATTTTTTTCTTTATCCTTCCCTTATTTATTGCTGTCTTTTCATTCTCCCTTTCTAGAATTCTTGCCACAGAGCCAGACCTTGAAGCTTTTGGTTCTTTACAGTTGTATAATTTTTACCTTCTCTTGTGTAGTTATTACTATTTTTAAGAACAGTTATGAGTTTTAAAGTACAAGTACTGGAAAGAGATCTATCTAATCCAAATAAATGGTATCACCAGTCTATTTACAAACTTCTGATATTGGTTCTCTAAGGGTTGAATTCTACTTCTCTTGGATTTTGGAAAAGATTTCAGTTTTTGATATCAGAAAAGCAATTGATTTTGCACATGGTGGTGGTGATGATGATGGTGGTGGTGGTGGGGATAGAACACTTATTGAGCACTAAGTATATTCCAGGCTCTTCTTTGATCAGTTTACCGCTATTAGCTAATTTGATTCTCATACAATCCCCATTTTAGAGATGAGAAAAGAGTGGTCAGAGATTTTCATTTTCCTTGGTTGTATCTAGTAAATGGCAGAAAGAGAATTTCAACACAGTCCAGGTCTGGAGTCTTAATCAGTGCAGTTAGTGCCAGTGTCAGATGTTCTCAAGAGTTGTATTTGTGGCCCTAGCTGGTTTGGCTCAGCTGATAGAGCAGCGGCCTGTGGACTGAAGGGTCCCAGGTTTGATTCCGGTCAAGGGCACATGCCCAGGTTGCAGGCTCCATTTTTTACCTTCTCTTGTGTAGTTATTACTATTTTTAAGAACAGTTATGAGTTATAAAGTACAAGTACTGGAAAGAGATCTATCTAATCCAAATAAATGGTATCACCAGTCTATTTACAGACTTCTGATATTGGTTATCTAAGGGTTGAATTCTACTTCTCTTGGATTTTGGAAAAGATTTCAGTTTTTGATATCAGAAAAGCAATTGATTTTGCACATGGTGGTGGTGATGATGATGGTGGTGGTGGTGGGGATAGAACACTTATTGAGCACTAAGTATATTCCAGGCTCTTCTTTGATCAGTTTACCGCTATTAGCTAATTTGATTCTCATACAATCCCCATTTTAGAGATGAGAAAAGAGTGGTCAGAGATTTTCATTTTCCTTGGTTGTATCTAGTAAATGGCAGAAAGAGAATTTCAACACAGTCCAGGTCTGGAGTCTTAATCAGTGCAGTTAGTGCCAGTGTCAGATGTTCTCAAGAGTTGTATTTGTGGCCCTAGCTGGTTTGGCTCAGCTGATAGAGCAGCGGCCTGTGGACTGAAGGGTCCCAGGTTTGATTCCGGTCAAGGGCACATGCCCAGGTTGCAGGCTCCATCCTCAGTGGGGGATGTGCAGGAGGCAGCCAATCAATGATTCTCTCATCATTGTTTCTCTCTCTCCCTCTTCCTTCCTTTCTGAAATCAATGAGAGAAAAAAAGTTGTATTTGTGTGTGTTCTGGATTCATTTAAAATACCCCTATACTGTCTCTTAAAACTAGGAGAATTTTGCTTAATGAAATGGCTTGGTTTTGAGACATAGTTCCTCCCATTTGTGTACGCTGAGCATAAGCCTAAAAGAGAATCTAAGGCTGCAGAGTCTATATACATAGGACTGCAGGCTTTAGCCCAGGGGTGGGCAAACTTTTTGACTCCAGGGCCACAATGGGTTCTTAAACTGGACCGGAGGGCCGGAACAAAAGCATGGATGGAGTGTGTGTGTGAACTAATATAAATTCAAAGTAAACATCATTACATAAAAGGGTACGGTCTTTTTTTTTTTTAGTTTTATTCATTTCAAACGGGCCGGATCCGGCCCGCGGGCCGTAGTTTGCCCACAGCTGCTTTAGCCCCTTATCAGAGAGCTAAATGCTGTCTGAGCCCAGGCCCTGAAGTAGTAGCAGCACACATGACTGAAGTAACCGTCCTTATCTCCCCACGCTGAGCAAATGATCCTGCATGAACATGGTAATTAATAGTTGAGTAAAACATTATAACATTAAAAAAAGAGGTAATTAAAGTGGCTGGTTTTCTCCAACATAACTATCTCTCTTCATTGGATATCTGATAAAAATTCAGTTTTCCTTTTCATTACCTTGTTTCATATTAATATCATCTAATTTATTGCATATTTATACAGCTAATCTGAGAATTTTGGAAAGCAGGGATCATCTAAACCTCTGTATATGAAAAAAATTAATTTTTAAAATGGGAATGTTCTTATAAAAAATGTATACTTTCTCAAATGCACACGTATAAAAGCCCAGGCTCTGAAGTACTAGTGAAGTGTGAGGCAGAAAGTGAAAATTGCCACCTTAACAGAACCTTTAAGTTTTGTTGGTAACCCATCAGACCTTTTGTGTTTACATATACATGTATATGTTAAATTTATTTCTTTGTGTATGTATTGAAATATATATTAATATAAATGAGATGTTCTGTAACCTGTTTTTTGTTGCTTAATAATCTATTCCTACATATACTGTTGTCAGTATATGTAGATCTAGCTCATGCTTTCTAACAGTAATCAGATTCTGCTGTATGGATGTTTATTAGTTTACTTAGTCTGGTTCTTTTTGAGACTCTTAGGTTATTTGAAATTTTTCTCAATTATTTACAGTGCTACAGAGTGCTGCAGTGAACATTCTTTTTAAATTTTTTAAAAAAAAAATAATTGTTGAAAGTATTACATATGCCCCTTTTTTCCCCCCAATGACCCCCCCCCATGTCCATGAGTTATGCATATATGCATACAAGGTTTTTGGTTGATTACCTCCTACCCACCCACCCTCCCCCACCTTCCCTCTGAGATTCCGCACTGTTCCATGCTTCCATACCTCCTACCCACCCCCCCTCCCCCGCCTTCCCTCTGAGATTCTGCACTCTGTTCCATGCTTCAGGTCTCTGGATCTATTCTGTGCATCAGTTTATTTTGTTAATTAGATTCTACGTATGAGGGATCATGTGATACTTGTCTTTCTCTGACTGACTTATTTCACTTAGCATGATATTCTCCAGGTCCCTCCATACTGTCTCAAAGGGTAAGAGATTCTTCTTTTTTACTGCTGCATAGTATTCCATGGTATAAATGTACCACAGTTTTTTTATCACTCATCTTGCAGTGAATATTCTTGTACATCTATCATTGTGACCAGTTCTTTCCTTAGGCAGTGGTCTTTGAATTTTGCTCTCACAGTTGCCCAGAGAGCTGTACTGAATTGTCCAGAGGGTTTTGGAATGGTTTATGAGGTGTGGTTAGGCCATCATTGTCCTAAAACTTTGGTTAAATATGGCGGTTCCTTTCAAGGACAATAAAAAGGCAAACATGCCAAATATGTATTAAATAATACCAGGATAGGACAATCTCTGCATTTAAACTTATTATCTAGCTTTAAGTGGTCTTATTTTAGCCTTGAATTGAGAATGATTGTAGTTATTTTTCCCCATTATTTCATTTTGTCTTACGAAGATGATGGTGAAATATATACAAGTGTGATTGTCTTTTACATGATTATAGCAAACCATTGTTTTTCTTCAATAGTAAATGATTTAAATAACCCTTTTTTGTGGGGATTGGGGTGGGTGTTTGTCTTCCATGTAGTTTATATCCTGGAACCTGGAGATGCTCCTTTGTTACAGCAGCCACTACAGACATCCAAATCTGGTATTCAACAAATAATTGAGTGCTTTCGATCAGGTATGAATGATTTGGGATGTATTTTTTCAGTCTTCACATAGTAGTTAAAAACTACCTAGAAATCTTTAGAAATAATTTTTTTAAATTAAAATGTATACACTGTTTTAAAATATATTTTCAATGTATTTTTAAAAAGTGGATGAATTAATATGTGATCTAGAGATTCTTTTTCAGTACTATATATTATATATTGGTTTTTAAAATAAACTTATTTACTATGGTTTAAAGAAATATATTATGTGGTGTATCTGCTGATAAAGTGCCTCTTCCTCTTAAAGATTCATTGTTATTTTTTGACATGTTCTTTATAAACTCTCAAAGGGCAGTAGTAAATTATATTGGGTTTTTCTAAGTTTTAGAAGAGTGGGTTATTTACTCACAATGTCTCAGATGTCACTTGTCCTAGATTAATTACTTTATCATCTCTGTGACTCACCTTCTTCTGCTTAACCCTGGAGTTTATAGAGTTTGAATATCTATAATAGAGCACAAGATGGCTAAAATAAGTCAGCTACATTTGTTTAGTGTTTCTTTCCATTAGATTATGATAATAATTAGATATATAAGTGTATTTGTGTAGTTGTAGTTCATTGCTTTAAGGAGATGTTGCTTACTACATATAAATGATTGAGAGCTATTTATCAGTAAGATCTTAAGTTGCTGTGATTCTTATTATTCTCTTGTTCACTTCATGTGGATTTGGCTTCTCTGACATTGTAGACTATTGAGTCAAATATGAACAAGCAAACTGATGGACACTTAAAGGATTATCTTTTGTTGTTTTATTTATCTTAATGAAATTATTAAGATAAATATTAACTTATGTTAATATTTATCTTAATGAAAATATACTGAGATTCAAAAAAAAGATAATTGATGTGCAACCACATGTTTTGTATTGATGAGAACTTTTTTGATGTGCTTGTTTTTAAAACATTGTTAAGGAAAAACATATTAATTTATTTTAGGATTCTAAGAAATAAATTGTTTCTTAACCTAAAAAGTTTTTTTCTTTGACTCTTTAAGATCCATTATACTTTTCATCTATAGTCCTCATGGTATTGCTTTTATGTATATTTAATTTAGTAAATATTGTGTATATGCCATATATCTGTGCTCATGTTGGTTAGTGGTATAACCTAGGTGTTTCTTGTTGTTTTTTACTTTTGGTAATTACCCTTGGCTAACAGTAATAATTGATAGACTAAATTCTCCTATGGTAAATACAATTAAAATTTTAGTTATTAGGGACTGTATTTAAATATATTTGTGGCATAACAGAATGGTTAATTTCTGTTTGTAGTAAGAGTTTCTGTTAGCTACTTTTAGTATAGCAATAAAATTTCTTTTTGTTCTTATATCATGGAAATGAAGGTAATAGTTTTTCATACTCAGTAGTATTCTTTGCTTTTTAAAAATTCATAATATGGAATTAATAAGGTTACTTTCTACTACTTCAGTTTTATAGTGTTATTTGATTAAGAAGTTAGAATTGGTTCGTTCATAAATGCTTTGTCTTATAGAAAATACCTTTTCAGCAAGATCCTATACTCAAAAAGTATATATTTTTTAATTTTGAAAGATGAATATATAAAAATGAAATTATTTGTTCCTTGTTGAACTGTGGTCATATCTGTTTTCTGTGTTTGGCATTTCTTTACTGTCTAAGCCAGTGGTTCCCAATGTGGGGCACATGACCCACTGGGGGCAATTTGATTTTTAAGGAGGGGCAATTCGAGAATGAGTTATTAACAGTGAATTTTTTGCATTTCCTATGGTTCTAGGGGCCTCATAACACAGTATGTAAATATATATTGTGACATATTTATGCATTTCCGTTCTCTATTATATGTTTTGAAACTTTATTTGATATTTTTTCATATCACTTCATGTTTTTACTATTTTTTTAAGCAATTTCTTAGTGATTTCTTCCTCAGTACTTCAACTGTCCTTTCATTCTTTTATTTTTCTCTTTCATGGATGCCATGTTCTTTGGAAGCTTGTTTACACCCAGTTAATGGCCTTTTAGGCTTCTTTCACATGAATAGGAGTTCACTTTTTGAATAATAAGAATTATATGTCACAGAGGGGGCATCAGGATGTTAGAGATGCTTAGGTGAGGCGTGGCCAAAAGAAAGTTGGGAACCACTGGTTTAAGCTAAAGAAAATTGACTGTGAAATTTGTAGTATGTTCCTTTTAAAATGTCCCCAGCAGCCTGGCTGGTTTGGCTCAGTGATTGAGCATCAACCTATGAAATGGAGATCACAGTTTGATTCCTGGTCAGGGCACATGCCCCTGTTGGGGGCTCAAGCGCCAGTGTGGGCATGCAGGAGGCAGCCGATCTATGATTTTTCTCCCATCATTGATGTTCTATTTCTCTCCCTCCCTCTCCCTTCCTCTCTGAAATCAATAAAAATATATAAAAGAATTAAATATCCCCAACAGATTTGCCTTCTCAGTTATTTTTTATTTAGGCAAATTGTGAAAATACTATAATTTTAATTCTTTAAGTACCCAATAATTTAAATTAGAGGTGATTTAGAAATATGCTGACTGATATAAGGAAACTAATTATGGATTTAAAAAGGAATTTCTTAGCCCTGGCTGGTTTGGCTCAGTGGATAGAGCGTCAGCCTGCAGACTGAAGGGTCCCAGGTTTGATTCTGGTCAAGGGACATGCCTGGGCTGGGGGCTCGATCCGGGGTGTGCAGGAGGCAGCCAATCAGTGGTTCTCTTTCATCGTTGATCTTTCTCTCTCTCCCTCTCCCTTCCTCTCTGAAATCAATAAAAACGAACTTTTTACTTTATTAATGTATCTCATAGCTAAGCATTTTTAATTTCTTCAAGATAATCTCTTACATATCTGGATAATCTAAAGTCTACGGAGGTAGCTCTTCTTTAGCACTGAGGTGTTCAAGTGGTGCCTGTCTAAAACCTTGGGAGGGTAAGATGGAAGTTTGGAGGGATTGAGATCCCTTCCCAACCTGAGATTTGCAGGTTCCTCCCAGTTCCTCTACTCCAGCCGTGGGCAAACTACGGCCCGCGGGCCGGATCCGGCCCGTTTGAAATGAATAAAACAAAAAAAAAGACTGTTCCCTTTTATGTAATGATGTTTACTTTGAATTTATATTAGTTCACACAAACACTCCATCCATGCTTTTGTTCTGGCCCTCCGGTCCAGTTTAAGAACCCATTGTGGCCCTCGAGTCAAAAAGTTTGCCCACCCCTGCTCTACTCCCAAGCCTGCCTTGAGTAACTCATCTCTTTCTATGTTCTTTCCAATAAGCTGGGTCACACACATTGCATTTAAAGAACTATCATGGTGGTGTTATATATCTGACAGATATTTGAAGGTAAAACTCTGAAGTCCTTGCTTTTGTTCTTGTTAACCCTAGAGCAGGGGTCCTCAAACTATGGCCCGCGGGCCACATGCAAATACAAATATTGTATTTGTTCCCGTTTTGTTTTTTTACTTCAAAATAAGATATGTGCAGTGTGCATAGGAATTTGTTCATAGTTTTTTTTTAAACTATAGTCCGGCCCTCCCAACGGTCTGAGGGACAGTGAACTGGCCCCCTGTTTAAAAAGTTTGAGGACCCCTGCCCTAGAGGCTAAGTCAGGTTGGCAGTAGTCATATTAGGATATCTACCTTTATCTTCAAGCTCAGATAATTGTCTGCAGCTATGGTATCATCTCTATTTAAGTGACTCACCTTCTCCTGCCTACACTGGGCTGTCTGTGACCTGGTATTAATTCCTATCCAAGCTGGAAGTTCATAAAAGGCTGAGGAAGGAGTTGACTCATTTTTTAGGTCCACCCAACCCCATGTGTGCTGTACTACTGACTGCATGACCAACTTTGACCCATTCTCTTTGCCTCGCACTTCAGCTTTTGCTTTAGCCTTTTTTTCTGGCTTTAAATTACAAGTCCTTCTTTACCTTTGGTAGCTTTTTATTTCAGTGTGCTTGACTTGTAAATTAATTTGAATAGATTTTTCTTTTTTGGAATTGTGCTTGTGGCTTAAAAAAAATAAAGAAGTACAAAACAATATATAAAAATAAGTTTCTTTTTTCTCGGGCAACCACTGCTACATGGTTTGTGTCTTCTTCCAGAGACCTTCTATGCATATACAAACATAAATTCCTCATTTTCTTCATAATATAAATGGTAGCCAAATGTGCATATTATATATCTTTGCTTTATTAATAATACAATCCACTATTGTTTGACATCTGTCCATAGATATCTCTCTCTCTCTCTCTCTTTTTTTAGAAAACTGTTTTTGCTTCAAACTCTCTCTCTCTCTCTCTCTCTCTCTCTTTTTTAGAAAACTGTTTTTGCTTCAACGTACAGATTTTCTACTCTGACATCCCTGATGGTTGGGTGATTGGAGACATGTCATTTGCTCTGAATCCCTGACTTGTGGTACCACCTTTACTGTACCCTGCTCTTTGCTAGAGCCTTGCCTTGGCTGTTATCCTCTAGGATCACTTCTGTAACTTGCTGTCTTCAAATTTTCCTCCTTTCTATTTACACTTGTATTTTAGCTTCCTTCCTTCCTGAGCTTTCTCCCTAAACTGAAATAAATATTTAAATAACAAAAATATTTATACTTTCATGAGACATTTATTAAAATGGATTTAATTGAGTTTAATATTCTTTCTTAGTCTTCTAGGCTGATGGTAGAGGTAAAGCTATGGATTATGTTAAGGTTAGAAATAGAAAAATAGGGAGAAAGAGAGGATAATAACTTTGTCCAGTATTTAAAACTGGTTTAATATGAAGTTGATAACTTTTTTAATTCTTGAAATATATAATACTGTAAAGAGATAATGTATATTATAGGAAAAAGATTCTGCCTATGGAATACAATACAGCTATGTACAAGGCACAACATCTTTTTTGAATTTTAAGGAGGAATAAATTGTAGCGAAAATGAGAATTAGCTTTGTATATTTGCTATTGTCATTTTCCTTCTTTGAAGGTTTTTTTTTTCCTA